ATATAATTTATAATATTTATAAATATATATATTTATATATATAATAATTGAAGAAACAAGATGTGTTATCAGGGAGCAAAATTAATTCTAAATTAAATGCAAGATAAGCCTTGTTATCAAATTTGTCCAAATAATCCTCATTTGCAAGCTTTTATATTAATATCTCTGAATATTTTTCTATTAGCAGTATTTTAGAGTATCTTCAAATTTGTATTTGTGAATACAAATTTAATATATAGATAATATTTTAATAGAAAATACATTTTTTTTAATTTAAAGAAAAATTATTATTTACAATATATGATTTAAACGAAGAAATTTGATTTAATCAATGCATGCAATCATTAAAATAATTGATAATTAGATTTCTTGAAAATTTTTAATAATTATAAGTACGCTATTTTGTAGAAAATTGCAATTGCGTGGCATATTATCCGCTAAAGGTGATTTTGTGCCTCGTGTTCTTTAACACAAAGCACATCGGTCGCATATATAATCGCGCAGAGTGCATGCAAGATAATGGAGAAAGGGAAGCAGAAATTACAAAATAGTCATCGATTCTTATCACGAAGTGCTCGATTATTCCGTGTGCGCGCTTTTTAGCGAGGCGATTGTCTTTTTACAGCGTATGATATTCTCCGGTGAAAGAAGGCAATCTCGTAACGATCCACTTGCTTAGATAGAGATAGAAGATTTTATCATAGAAAAATTCCTTTAAATATCATGTTTTAAAATTTATAAGTAGAAAAATCCTCATTTCCCTGCGAACATTCTCCTTTTCCTTCCATACTATTATTTTTCTTATGGTAAAAAAATTTGAGATATAAATGGAATCATTAGATTCCTACTGGCATTTTTCTGCGATATTCAATTATATATATATTATAAACAATCATATATCTCTACTTCAACATGGTATTTTCAACAATATTTTATGCCACGACTAACATTTATAAAATGTAAGGTCTTTTCCTCCGCTTTTTACAGACACCTGCAGGACAAATTATCCTTCATCGATCGTACAAGAACGGCGATATGGGGTTGGAGTTATGGTGGATACGCGACCGGCATGACACTCGCCATGGATTTAAAGGGTGTCTTCAAGTGCGGCATGTCAGTCGCGCCCGTTACAGATTGGGCCCTTTATGGTATGTAATGGAGTAATTAAAATCGAACTAATGACATTACACACGATGGCGATTTATTTCACAGTATAATGTTTAATTTAAAATTGTTTCACGGAAAAAAAAAATTGGGTTTACTTTGTGAGGATAAATATAACCCTTTTGTTATATTTATTAAAACTTACTTACGTTTTCACGTAATGCAGTCGGTTTTAACGAGGGCCGATAAAGAAAGAAGGAATTTTTAATAAACAACTAAAACAAAAGCTGTGCCGTGTCGTAAAGTTACTCTTCTCCTCATAAAGCAATCCCGGTTTACGATAACGTAAAAGCCGGAAAACTTTTCTATCAACAAGTGGTTGGATTTTCGTAACGTTAAGGCTAGTCGAAAAGAGCTTGAGTCTAAATTTAGAGTTGAACACTAGTTATATATTTAAACAAAATCAATCGATATAAAACCTATAAAACCTCCCGTCTTAGACAGAGCAAAGTAATTTTGAGATTTATCGATTCGTTCTAGATATATGTATATATCACGTTTCAAATATTTAAAATCTTTATAAAGAAATAGAGATAGAAAAATTAACCAAAGAATTAATTAAAATTGCAACGTATGTTATCTTACTGTGATATCGTTGTCATGAAAAAAAATTCTTCCAGAGCATTATACGCTTGACAGTTTTTATTATAAAGGAATGCTGTCAAGAAACATTAAGTTTTTTTAGTCCTCGGATTTGTCTAAGAATTTTTTACGCGGTGACATTTTAACGAAGAAAAGTATGCTCCGTGGAAAAGACGTGCTGCTGCAGCTTTAATGTTACTTTTTTAACTACTTTAAATTCGTGTCAGCATTACCTTCCCTCATTAGAGTACGCGAGAAAAATACACGTGATTTACAGGATGATGTTAAAAAGACTTATGCGGCGTCAGTTGTGCAATTTCTGCATAAAATATCTCGCGCCATATAACAGCGTAGTATGTATATATATGTGTGTGTGTGTGTGTGTGTGTGTGTGTGTGAATATGCGATTCTTTTTTTTATGCCTTTCTTTTTCCAGGAATATTTGTGCTCTGTTTTTATTGATACAATTATAATGGTTTAATTTACAGATTCGATTTATACCGAGCGGTTTATGGGTTTACCAATCGTTGCTGATAATCTACAGGGTTACGAGCAAGCCCAGTTACTCAACAAAGTCGAAAATATTAAAAATAAGATGTACTATTTAATTCATGGAACTCTAGACGACAACGTGCACTACCAACAATCGCTTATGCTTGCGAAAGTATTGGAACAGAAAGATATCCTTTTCAGACAACAGGTACAAGTCTATTCGATTCTCAATAGATTAGTAATATAATATAGTATATAATAGATAAATATCGAGATGACCTAATATTTTACAAATATAATCCGATCTATAGAAATGATAAATAAATGTAAAATTTTGCTTTGCAGACTTATACAGACGAGGACCACGGTATCGCCCAGTCGCGAGCACATCTGTACCACTCGCTAGAAAACTTTCTCGACGAATGCTTTCAGACATCGTCATGATCAGAGCACGGAATAGTGATGACAATCTAGACGCTGTACACACCACCTGCCTCACACTTACCAATTGTAAATAATCTATCATGTGTACAGAGTTTATGTACGATATGTAATATGAGCGTTTTTAGAAAATGTACATAGCGGTGAAATTGCCGAGGGAGAGTGGGAAAATGAGAGAAAGAGAAAGAGCGAAAAAAATGCGACAAGAGGGAGAGATAGAATAATTAGAAACCAGAATCAAGAAAACTACGCAGGGCAGGTCTGTGAAAAACATGTTTGATACGTTTTTTAAGATACCCGGTCAAACGGTGCATCGAAGGCCTAATAACGGCACGGGCTCCGTCGCCTAGCTATTCACACCCCACAAGGTATTAGATCGTATCATTGCAGTTCGTACTTATATTCGCAGCTTGTTTTATCTCAGCGTTCTTCGAATGTCGTATTAACACGTTTCCCAATTATTGTTTCTCGGACGGTCAAATAAATCCATTATTGACGCGACAGTTCAACTCTAGGTTCAAATTATAAGTTCACAGTTTCGCGATTCGATTCTGGCAGAATCTCATTTGATAATATCTGCCAATATTATTTAATTTTATCGATTTGATAAAAGATTTTGTATCTTGAAAAAAATTTCGCATTTTTTACAATTAGTTTTTTTTTAATACATTTGATCATTTGGAGTATCGCGTTCCTTATTTGAATTCGTTCAATTCTTTTACCATAACCGTGGTCTCTTTGATACGATATTATTGTTAAATTATCATATTAGAATATTCACATATATGAGTTCAGTTACTACATTTTGAGACAAGACTTTTTTAACATTTTTGAAAAATCTGGTTTTATAAAACCAGATTTGATATCACATTTGAAATGAAATAGAAAAAGAATATTATTTCCAACGATCGATATAGTTTCATGTAATATTATAAAAATTATAAAATATAAAAAAAAGTATCTTCTATATTGAAACGTTTCGAAAAATAATACAATAAAATGAGTTTTGTATGATGTTTTTAATGTGTTTTAATATTTAAGGGAATATCACATATAATAAAAAATAAGATATTCCACAAAATATATGGATATGCGGTATTCTTTTTATTTTTCACAAGCTGATGATATATAAATTATTTTTTCTTTTATACAAATAATTTATACCTCGATATATTTCTGATGATAAAAATAAAAAAACTGAAGTACATTATCGTGTACTGCGTACATTGTCCGACAATAATATTACCGACGATATTCTGAAACAATTATTACGGCCTATTCAACATGACATGTAAACTATTCATATTCATATTCGAAAAGCATACGTCAAATATTTACAATGCAACACTTAAATCTTCGATAATAAATTTATAATCGATATTTAAACGCGCTATAAGCAATTTTAATTTTTGCAAAACTGAATTAAATTTTCTGAACTCATATATGTTATCTTAAGGCTCTGGAATACTCAGCAAAAAGTTAAGTAAAGTTCTCATAAAAGAGAATAAATTAATATCGTTTATTATATACGATATTAATGATTGCTAATGTTATATAATTACACCGTTGTGCTAATCGAAAGATAAAATAAGAATATTGTAAAAGCACAAATTTGCCAATTGAACTCTACAACATTCGCCGACAATGTAACCAATTAATGTATAATATAAACAACAAACTTTTGCATAAAAAATGGAATTGCGCCACTTAATTTTTAAAATGTATTTAGAGAGGACTGTTTTTAAAGCGTTATATATTTTCAAGGCACTGTTTTACGATCAACTATTGTGACATTATTAATATATAACGTAATTTTGAAGAAAGTGTGACAACACAAAACGCGGTATCGTAACTGATGAAAATTATATGCAAAATAGTAACCAAGTTATGCTTTCAGAATCGAAAATATACGTAAATGTAACGTTTTGTAACAATCTATAGTTAGATAACTATAGATATTATTTTTAGTATCTCGATAAATTGTTGCACGGTTTAAGAAAGAGCTATTTCATTATAAAAATATGTACAAAGACATTTCCAAAAGAAAAGAGAACGTATAATAAAGATATATAATATTATATGTACAGATTATTAAAACATATATGTTTTTTATAAGACATATGTATTACATGCTGTCGAATATTGGGAAGCGTGAGCATCACGTTTGATAACAGCGTTGTAAAAATATTAATTCTAATATTACTTTAATACATAGATTAATAGGAATACGCGCTTTCAACGCGAGATACGTAGAAATAATATAAAATCCTATCTTTTTAGATCTTTTGGAATCTATCTTACCATGGCAAAAATTCTGTTGTCAAGATTATGGATATCAAATGCTGCTAATATCAAATATATATTGAACATTGATAAAATCAACACATAATTAAGTAACTTGAAATTAATTTAAAATATTTCGCGGTTCTCTCTCTTCGCTTTCATTCTCCATATTTAAAAGTATCATAATAAAATCAAGGTAAAATCGATTCAAACTTTCTTCAAAGATAGGCAGATTTCAAGAGAGAGCAAGCTGTTTAAAAATTTTTGATGTGTTTTAAAATTTGTTTGGAGGAACAAGAATTTTTCACGCGTTCCATATATGTGTCGAATTAAATATTTTAGTTATAGATATAAATTTTATTTTCCTATATTTTAATGTTTGTGCTGTGGGTATACCAGAGTATTAAGAAAGTGCAATTACATCACTTTATATATCATATTTGTGTATTTCTATAGTTTATATAAGAACTAAATACTAACTTTAGGCAGCAATTAGTTTACCGAGACATCTCTTTTCCTTAAAATGATATATCATATCTATTTCTTATTATTATTAGATTATGGGCAAATATTAGTGCCAATGTGTAAATGCACACATAAGTAAGAAACTATCGACAAATTCTCTGACTATTAAAGTTTTTTAATACAAGGACCACTGTAACGATTTCAAGAGTGGATCAAGATGAATTTATTAAAATAATTGTTAACTTTTATCCTGACACACGTGTTGTACATAGAGAATTACTTAATTAAACACTTAAATAAGATAACAAAGCATTGTTAGAAAGAAGATATTGTAATAATGACCCAGTAGAGTTATAAAATTATGACGGATGTATTCTCTTTCACCACTATTTGTTGAGTGTATTATAAATAAAGCTCTATGTTTTATTAAGAGACAAAGTGTTTATATCTTGAAAACTATCCTGTTATAGGCATTTGTATGCACAGATTGTAAAAAGTTTAATAATAAAACTTCACTAGTGAATTAATATCACACATTCTAATGAAAATGTACAGAATATAAAATATCATATAAAAAAATACACTAAAATTATCATCAAGGATTTTCTATTCCCTAAATATAATATCATGTATAGAGTAAAAAATTATAAAAAAAGAAATAAAAGAAACAAAATCATATATTTGTTATAATAACTTTATGCAAAATAACATATGTAATAGAAAATTTTACCTTAAGAATTCTCTGTTTCTTTGTATCTGCAAATATAAAATGAATTATTTATTAATAAATTATTATGAAAGCAATACAAAAACTTGATATATTCTTAATCCTTTTGCGGAATACGTTGAATGCTGAAAAAACTTTGGCAATTTCAGCTTTCTATCTGACCGCAAGGGATTAAACAAATATAAACAAATATAAATAGACTGTCAACAATAAAATTGTTTTGCACAGAAACATACTTGCATTTAGTACATGTGTAAAATATAGTTTGTCCTTCATCAGCAGATCTCAATTGTAATGTAGCATATGACATTTTGTCGTTTTTACACTGAGGACATGGTCGTTCTACAATTGGTCCATCCGCATCATCATCACTATCATCTGCTTCTTTGGCGAATGTATAAGTGTCTTTAGAATTGAAATGAATCGTATGTGTCATTTCCAGATCCCCGAAGGCTGAAAAAGATGAAATCAGATACTGACTCTCCAAATAAATGTATATAAATTCTTGTGATTATAATTGATTATAATATAATAATTTTCTTTATTACTCTTAATCTCGAATATGAAAAATCTCGTATTAACATACTTGAATGGCATTTCAATGAAACTCTAAGTTATATCTTTCTTAACTAATGAGTATTTGAGTACTTTGTTTGGAGCATACTTTTCGAATCCCAGTTCCTTTTGCATGTGTAACAAGTAACAGTAGCTTTTCTTTCGGCAAGTAATGGTAAAATTGAGCCACAATCCGGACAGAATCCAGGTACAGTAATAAAACAACTGTCGCTGTTACTTGCCATTATTCAATGTGTATTTACTATTTACTGGCGCGTTTGATTATCATAAATAATATAACCTATTGAAGACACGTTTCCGAATATGTAATTCAGTGATGCCAAACGAAAACATAGACATAAGAAATAACTAGATTGTGTAACTAGGACAGTGTTACCTAAAGTTACTAAGCTAGGGAAAATTTCAATCCTCGAAAATGGAAAATGTTCATATATAATATAAAAAGCAAAAAATTAAAAGTGGAAACTCTCGATACTTATCGATTATTAATCACAGGTATCAGAATTTATTAAACACTGATTTTTTTTTATTGCATTATTATAATTTATTTCATATATATAAACATTTGATACAGTTTTAAAATTTTATTTGTAGAACTTATTTTTTTAGCAATGGTGTTAATAATAGCTAGATTTATATATCCTATCGGATATAATATATCAGAGAAAAATGGATGGAGTGATCAAGATTCAAAATTCGGTTTGGCATGATACTGTGTCGATACTTCGATACGTTTAGAAATGTGAAATAAAATTGCTTGCAGAGAAGAATGGAATATAATTCCCATCATTTCCTTTTCGATATGATCATCGGTAGCCAAGCGCTCACGCATTACCGCGCATTCACCGTCCTAGTGATTTTCATAATAAACACATGCGCGTTTCGCCTCTTCGCTTTCGGTAACCGGAGAGTATCCACCGTACGCGCGCGGGAAAAGAGCGTTAAGATCATAAAGATACATCAAAATTGTTGGAAGAAATTTAATATTAATTTATCTATATTTTACGTAACTTCAAAAAGAGATATTAAACAAAAAAGGGTTCAATAATATTTTTAAATATCCACGAAACTGCTTTATCACGGAAACGTCAAACTTCTTCCGTATCTCCGGGATATCTCGAAGGAAGTGAGCTTTTTCCCAGCAAAATTATTCGATTCCAAAGTGCAGACTTATTCACCATGCAACACGCTCAGTAAGATCGAGCTCTTTAATCGAGTTTCTCTTCCGCGCGGCAATTGCCAGAAAATAAGGTACATATTTTTTATCTATACGAATAGCTGCTTGAAAATCTGTACTGACTATGATCTTAATTATATATATGTTCGTTATCATATAATATATATAAGATACCTTACTTCAAATATACAATGAATATACATTTATGCTTAGATCGTCAAAATATCCTCGCGATCGCAATTCAACATATATATGTATAGAGAAGACTGTCGCGCGATGAATATCTCGAGAGATATTATATTTTATTATCCTTTCTTAGAGTTACACATTTACACGTTAACGTGCCAGAGAAAACTTACAGTGATAATTGATAAGATTGTCGGTTAAATTAACTTTACAGCGAGAATATTATCACAATTTAAGCATATCGTTACTAATTCGCTTTTTTAATGAATGGACTAGACTCGATTACTTATAATAATAATAGTAGCTTCTTAACGTTTATAAGGATATTGCAGAGAAACGAGGGTATCTTTCGCAAGCTATAACAATAAGTCAGAAATATAGATATACAAGATTTCGGTTTGAAACAGTCTACTCTATCAGCATGTCCTTATTCTTATAATAATTTTCTTATCTTTATTTATTTATTTTTTTTCATTATATATATCTCTGCAATTTGCTTCTTTTACAAAATTCTGGAAACATTTGTAAAATCATATTTTGAAAATTGTAACTTCTCAAAGATATCGAGAAGACATTAATAAGATAAATTAATAAGACAATCAGAAACTTTTTTTTATAAATTTTTCCGCTTGACAACTTTTCATGCACATTTTTATAATTAATAAGCTATTTGCAAAATAATAAGGACATGTTTAATAGTAGCAAGTTTCAATATCATCTTGAGCCGTATTTAATTACAAAGTCAATCAAAGTAGTGTGGGATATTTAGATAATCGAAGATCAGGATGCAAAAGATTATGTTTCACAAATATTGCAAAAGAACCGGCGAGATATTTTAAAATCTTGCTTTATCTCGATTATAGAAATAATATAGCTTCTATACTCTTTTATATTTTCAATATATATATTTTTACATTCGCTACTTATTTTTATTCAGGCATTCATAAATCTGTATTAATTGATAAATAAAATCATATACAGCTTGCTCGCATAAAAAAAACGCTTGCTTAATTTTTGCATCCGATACTTCGATTATGCTAAAATATAGACAAATATCTCGTAAGTATGTGAACATATAAAAAGTACTACGCGTTATTAAGAATGAATCGTGTAGGAAACGGAATTCGCTTATTATCCTTAACGAGGGCGTTATTTTTGTACAACGCACCTGATATACATCTTACATATTATAGTTAATAAATAATGTGATGATTTTTTTCGAAAAGTATGGAAGAGAATATCTAAATATATGTCGCTCTCTTTAACGTTTTATTTTTACCACTTTGATATGCAATTGCAATGGATATGCAACGGTATGCTTTTTTAAAAGCGCGTGGAAACAATAGCTCTTTCAACTTTTTATCTTAAAATAGCTTTCTTTTCTTGTGCTCATATAATATTCTTCTTCGCGCAAATTTTCTCTGTTTTCATCGATGTGGTTTAATGAGAATTCTCGGAGATTTTCTTGACTTTGCAAGTGAGAATGCACTTAAAATTATTGGAAGGCCCATCTAGCATTGCTAAACACGAATTACACGTATACATATAAATAATATGTATAAATTAATTAAGTACAAAAATTACAAACTTATTAACAAAATATTGGCAAGACTGGGTTTTAGCCGAATTAACAGGCTACAAACATTGCGTCATTTTCGATTTTATATAATGAGATTCTTGGTGCTCGAAAGAGAACCTGAATAACTTAAAAACCACAAAGATTTGTTTCGTTCCCGTTACAATAGTTGATTAATCAAAGCGTGAATAAATTATGCTCACAAAATTATCATCTGCCAAAAACCATTAAATTTGACTCATAGAAGTAGTTTAATCGCAATTTATTAACGTGTTTCAAAAATTTATTTATATTTTCAATGTGATATTTATCGCTATAAATGTAAACGTACGCGATTCCTTAATATTCCAGTATAATAAAAAGAAATGCTATAAAATACTGTCAGAAAAAATTTATAACGATTTTTTTTTTAAATTTTATAATGCCAATTGTGCAAAATTGGTTTGCCGTAGACAAATTTTTATCTTTACATTGTAGCAAGATTATTCGATGAATGTAAACAGGAACTTTGCTTTTTTTAATCTTTGCTTTAATTATCGCAAATTATTCTTCAAAATAAATATGTAGGAAGCCAAGAATCGTGGCGCGCGCAGGAATAATGAATTCATTTAAAACATTCGCGGTGTGATACTAGAGTCTCAATTTTTATAAAAAACTGTCGTGTAAACTGGAAAGTAGTTTTATTGTAAAAGGAAGAGAACTTACTTTACATTTATGTCTTTATCCCGGCAACAGGAATTTCACTTCGATGCATGTAACTGAGAGAGAGATCGCTGATACGTATATATATGTGGAATGTTAATAGTGTATATCTTTTCGTTTAAACCGGACTATCGCTTGCTAATAACAATTTGCTCGAAATGTTTTTAAGACCATCGCTTCTTACATTGTATGCATTCTTAAAACATATGTACTCGTCGAGAATCGACTTCTCATTAATCGGAATATACTTCCAACTTTTATTTAAAAGGATTCGCTCTTGTGTATTTCTATATTTATATAATTCGTATCACACGATATGTCGCTCGCATCTTTCACAATTACTCGACGAGTTTTCTTCATATCGTCATTCTATGTCAATAAATATTACACTCAAGTATGCCTTCTCTCTGAAGAACATCGTTTTAAATTACCTAACACATATCACAGAATTCATATATCCACTTTTAGAAAAAAAAAAATTATACAAACGCAATAGCACGGGATACAAAAGTGCGCATTAGTACGGGTAGAATTATACAAATATGTAGACGCATTATTAATACAAACTAAAGCCGCATATGTTGCGCTTGTCCTAGTCCGATCAAAATGACGAATTTTGTGCTCCCAAATATAAAAATAACGCTTGACGATTTTTGGTTCAAAGGAATGTCGTTCATTAATCTTATTTTCAGTGTCCGGGCAGTGACCACTATCTTACACTACATTTTCTGCAGTCCATTGCAGAACAGAAATAAAAGACATGTGTATTTATTTATTATAACTGGATAAAAATAAAATATTTTTTACTAATTAAAGAACATGAAAATGAAATTCGATTCGCGAAACGGCATTTGTCATAAAACTTGCTCTTATTCTTTTTAGAGCGTGTAAGCTTTACTTTTGTACTTCTGACTTTTCTTATTACAATACAATGAAGATTATTTTTATATGACAGAATAATATATAATATATAAATTAAAAAATTTATATATATAATTATATATATATTTATATATATATAAGTATTAATTATAATTAATACTTATATATATATAAATATATATATAATTATATATATATTTATATATATATAAGTATTAATTATAATTAATACTTATATATATATAAATATATATATAATTATATATATATTTATATATATATAAGTATTAATTATAATTAATACTTATATATATATAAATATATATATAATTATATATATATTTATATATATATAAGTATTAATTATAATTAATACTTATATATATATAAATATATATATAATTATATATATATTTATATATATATAAGTATTAATTATAATTAATACTTATATATATATAAATATATATATAATTATATATATATTTATATATATATAAGTATTAATTATAATTAATACTTATATATATATAAATATATATATAATTATATATATATTTATATATATATAAGTATTAATTATAATTAATACTTATATATATATAAATATATATATAATTATATATATATTTATATATATATAAGTATTAATTATAATTAATACTTATATATATATAAATATATATATAATTATATATATATTTATATATATATAAGTATTAATTATAATTAATACTTATATATATATAAATATATATATAATTATATATATATTTATATATATATAAGTATTAATTATAATTAATACTTATATATATATAAATATATATATAATTATATATATATTTATATATATATAAGTATTAATTATAATTAATACTTATATATATATAAATATATATATAATTATATATATATTTATATATATATAAGTATTAATTATAATTAATACTTATATATATATAAATATATATATAATTATATATATATTTATATATATATAAGTATTAATTATAATTAATACTTATATATATATAAATATATATATAATTATATATATATTTATATATATATAAGTATTAATTATAATTAATACTTATATATATATAAATATATATATAATTATATATATATTTATATATATATAAGTATTAATTATAATTAATACTTATATATATATAAATATATATATAATTATATATATATTTATATATATATAAGTATTAATTATAATTAATACTTATATATATATAAATATATATATAATTATATATATATTTATATATATATAAGTATTAATTATAATTAATACTTATATATATATAAATATATATATAATTATATATATATTTATATATATATAAGTATTAATTATAATTAATACTTATATATATATAAATATATATATAATTATATATATATTTATATATATATAAGTATTAATTATAATTAATACTTATATATATATAAATATATATATAATTATATATATATTTATATATATATAAGTATTAATTATAATTAATACTTATATATATATAAATATATATATAATTATATATATATTTATATATATATAAGTATTAATTATAATTAATACTTATATATATATAAATATATATATAATTATATATATATTTATATATATATAAGTATTAATTATAATTAATACTTATATATATATAAATATATATATAATTATATATATATTTATATATATATAAGTATTAATTATAATTAATACTTATATATATATAAATATATATATAATTATATATATATTTATATATATATAAGTATTAATTATAATTAATACTTATATATATATAAATATATATATAATTATATATATATTTATATATATATAAGTATTAATTATAATTAATACTTATATATATATAAATATATATATAATTATATATATATTTATATATATATAAGTATTAATTATAATTAATACTTATATATATATAAATATATATATAATTATATATATATTTATATATATATAAGTATTAATTATAATTAATACTTATATATATATAAATATATATATAATTATATATATATTTATATATATATAAGTATTAATTATAATTAATACTTATATATATATAAATATATATATAATTATATATATATTTATATATATATAAGTATTAATTATAATTAATACTTATATATATATAAATATATATATAATTATATATATATTTATATATATATAAGTATTAATTATAATTAATACTTATATATATATAAATATATATATAATTATATATATATTTATATATATATAAGTATTAATTATAATTAATACTTATATATATATAAATATATATATAATTATATATATATTTATATATATATAAGTATTAATTATAATTAATACTTATATATATATAAATATATATATAATTATATATATATTTATATATATATAAGTATTAATTATAATTAATACTTATATATATATAAATATATATATAATTATATATATATTTATATATATATAAGTATTAATTATAATTAATACTTATATATATATAAATATATATATAATTATATATATATTTATATATATATAAGTATTAATTATAATTAATACTTATATATATATAAATATATATATAATTATATATATATTTATATATATATAAGTATTAATTATAATTAATACTTATATATATATAAATATATATATAATTATATATATATTTATATATATATAAGTATTAATTATAATTAATACTTATATATATATAAATATATATATAATTATATATATATTTATATATATATAAGTATTAATTATAATTAATACTTATATATATATAAATATATATATAATTATATATATATTTATATATATATAAGTATTAATTATAATTAATACTTATATATATATAAATATATATATAATTATATATATATTTATATATATATAAGTATTAATTATAATTAATACTTATATATATATAAATATATATATAATTATATATATATTTATATATATATAAGTATTAATTATAATTAATACTTATATATATATAAATATATATATAATTATATATATATTTATATATATATAAGTATTAATTATAATTAATACTTATATATATATAAATATATATATAATTATATATATATTTATATATATATAAGTATTAATTATAATTAATACTTATATATATATAAATATATATATAATTATATATATATTTATATATATATAAGTATTAATTATAATTAATACTTATATATATATAAATATATATATAATTATATATATATTTATATATATATAAGTATTAATTATAATTAATACTTATATATATATAAATATATATATAATTATATATATATTTATATATATATAAGTATTAATTATAATTAATACTTATATATATATAAATATATATATAATTATATATATATTTATATATATATAAGTATTAATTATAATTAATACTTATATATATATAAATATATATATAATTATATATATATTTATATATATATAAGTATTAATTATAATTAATACTTATATATATATAAATATATATATAATTATATATATATTTATATATATATAAGTATTAATTATAATTAATACTTATATATATATAAATATATATATAATTATATATATATTTATATATATATAAGTATTAATTATAATTAATACTTATATATATATAAATATATATATAATTATATATATATTTATATATATATAAGTATTAATTATAATTAATACTTATATATATATAAATATATATATAATTATATATATATTTATATATATATAAGTATTAATTATAATTAATACTTATATATATATAAATATATATATAATTATATATATATTTATATATATATAAGTATTAATTATAATTAATACTTATATATATATAAATATATATATAATTATATATATATTTATATATATATAAGTATTAATTATAATTAATACTTATATATATATAAATATATATATAATTATATATATATTTATATATATATAAGTATTAATTATAATTAATACTTATATATATATAAATATATATATAATTATATATATATTTATATATATATAAGTATTAATTATAATTAATACTTATATATATATAAATATATATATAATTATATATATATTTATATATATATAAGTATTAATTATAATTAATACTTATATATATATAAATATATATATTCTCATATATTAAGAGGAAAAGCTACGAATTAAGATAAACTGGATATTTATTTTCGATAGCTAATCTTCGAAAAAAATACAAAAGTTGCTTTGTGAAATTTATCGGTTTCTCTATCTTTATCCATTCTGCAATGAAGTGCTATTGCTACTCGTCGAGCAACCGCTACATTCTATAATTGCGAATAAATGAAATTGTAAGACACTTGCCTTGTGTGATCGCTGCCTCTTACGTACACAAGATCAAGATCAGTGTACATGCAGACTCAAACTATGAATCCTGAAGAATATCCACTTAACGTATCGGTATCGGATAAATCAATGCAATGAAAGTTATGTAATAGTAGACTGGTTATTACTTTTGTAGTGAGTATGTTACAGTACTAATAGAATATTCTTAGTAAGAATACTCTTAATTCTCGTAATCGACATTACCTGTATGATACAGTGACGCGTTTTGGAATCCGCTTCGGTGAAGATATCTTTTCAGAGATACCTGCAGAAATACAAACAGAAAACAATGCATGCATGCATTATTTTTCTGAATCGTATATATAAAAATAAAAGTTTTATATCTGTTTAAAAGCAGATTAAAGTAAAAAGTATATATCGTTATTTTTACGTAAATTTATTTTTAATTAATAAGTTAATTAATTATTCTATTTTGATGAAAATTTAATTGGAACTTCTTGTTCTTTATATATTTTTATTTATACATTATTTATTATTATTTTATTAATCCTTTACTTCCATCTAATTAAAATTAAAATTATTATATTACAATTGAGTGTTTTACTGAGAGCATGAGCTATCCGACAGTAAAGCCTTCTAGAAAAAGTTGATTTTTACATAATTCGAAAGCAGTGTAATCAAACTCATCATTTTCCCTATATTTGCGGAACTCGTTCTCTCATTGAATCACTCAATTCGCTTCGGTGATGCTGCGTATCTATTTAGCATCGGTTGAACAGGCGTGAACGTACCTTCATCACTGATATAAAGCGACGCCGAGGTTACAAAGGGACTATTGGTTGAGCAGGGTGTTAGTCACCTCAGAGATGGACAACAGAGGACTCCCGGCGTCCGGTTTGGAATCTGTGGAACAGGCGGGCCCATTCCCGCTGCCGCCGCTGATGATCCCACGTGGTGGTGGTGCGGAGGGTGGTATAAGACGTTGTTGCTGTTGTTGGAGTTGTTGTCCGCCGCGGTGCCCATGCCCATGCCTGTTCCCACCCCCGTCCCCGTTCCCGCAACTGACGGTGGCGTGCTGCAACCAAATGGACGGTCTCGCCGTTATCTTACAGGTACTAAATACACGCTTCTTTTATTTCAGACATAGAGCCACTAGAATAACTAAAAATCTACATTTAATATTACTAAGGAAGAAGAGAACTTTCTTAGTAATATATCCTTGACTCGTTTAGATAAATTTAAAATATTAGGTGATTGTAAAGCTCAATTTAATGTAAAAAGATCAAGTAGTAGTAGCTTATATATAAAATAATATGTGCAAAAATGCCATCAAATTAAATCAAAATGTGATTTCATAATTATATAAAAATCATATTATTTTCTTATAATTATTTCTTAAATAACATTTGCGTACTTGGCCTAATTCTTGATTTTGATGATGTTATCAAATAATTTTAGAGTTATGCTTATATTGATGGAATCATTTGATAAATTTTAATGATTCATATAATAGTAGCAATGAAATTTCTAAATAATTATTAAAATTATATATAAAATGATGCGGAAACAAATTTTTGATTAGTCATCTCCCATTCACGCTAAACTTAAGGTGACCAATTTTTCTAAAAGCATTCAAAATTTTATTTTATTTGCTGAAATTTTATTATTTTTTCCATACTTTTCATATTTAAAATGCAAATACGGTTAACATTGCAAAGAAATGGTTTTAATGTTAACAAAATTAAGGATTTTATATTTATATATATATAATATATAATATCCGAGACTCTCTCAGAAAAAATATAATTCTAAAAAATAAAAATATAAAATTCAAAAATTGAAGTTTTGCTTTAAGCGGACAAAGTAAAATTTGTTCCCTGCAAATCAATATAACACTAAAATCAATTATAAGCAGGATACATTATCCTTTTTCAAAAACTTGGTCACCTTACCCTAAACGCGCCGATGGAAAATTATAATAAAATCTGTGAGGCAGCAGTGACACTCACTGGGGCGTGTGCCTTGGTGGTGCGGGGTGGTGATGGTGGTAGGGATAGTACTGGTAGTGATGGTGTTGCACTCCTTGCCATACCTCGGAGCCCGCTTCTCCGTGCCCGCCATGACCTGGATGAGAATGCGTGTAACCAATGGTGCTGGCGGCTGCCGCGGCGGCAACTGCAGCCGCTTGATACTGAGACGTGGTCACCGGGTACTGTTGATGTTGTTGCGGCTGATGATGATGTTGCTGCTGTTGTTGTTGCTGCTGAGATTGTTGCGTTTTATTATTTCTTGGCGGGCTCGACGCGGTCACTTGTTGATCCGTAGGTGAGGTTTGCCGCCATTTGCAATCTCCATTCATGGAATTCATCTCCGCCAACGATTTGAGCGGATCGCCAGTGGCGTTGGTCGAGTGCGTGGAAGAATGAGTCGAGTGTGGCGTCGGCGGACTGTAGCTGCCGTTGTTTCTGGGTGGTGTGCGCGATGGCGGCGCACCCCACATCAGCACAGTCTGCCGTGGCGCCTCGTTGCCGTACACCTCGGGCTTCACGTCCTCTATCTTCGGTGTCAGCATACCGTTGGCCGCGCCAGTCACCGGTGAGCTACCGGCGGAATTGCTGGATGATGCGCCACCTTCCAATGAATGCCTGCTTCCGGCGCGCACAACATTCATGTCAGTCGTCGCTGGATGCATCGTAGATGCGCTCGCCACCGGACTGGCAGCGTACGGCGAACCGCTGACGCTACCGGGGTGTCTCGTTTCCACGTAGCTATATTTGGGCGATTCGTTACTGCCCAGTTGCTGGCAGTAGAGCTTCTCTTCTGTCTTGCTAGTTAGCTGATGAGTCTCGTATGTGGGCAACGATACGTCAATGAAACCATTGTACGTAGTGCCGGTGTGATACTCTGGATAATATGAGCTCAACGGCCTATATTGGAATAGATTCTCTGTTGCAGCCGTGAGATACCTATGTGAGAAAATAGTAATATAAATTTCTTTACCATTTTGTCTACATTATATTCGCTATTTTATGTCGCGGTTGATTTAGCAAATTAAATGCTTTATAATAAACTATCTAAATTAATTAAATTTTTCATAGTGGTTCGTCAAATTCTATAAATGTGTATCAGAATCAGTTCAAATCAACTTACCTGTTATCTAATGCAGTCGCTGGATAGAGAGTTTGATGATAGTTGCCCGTGTGGCCGATGTAAGTCGTCAAGGAAGGATCGGTACTAGCCGCCACTGCTGTGGGCGCGTACGGCGTCGGGTACATAGTGTTTAAATTGTAGGCCGCCGCAACTGCGGCTGCTGCGCTGGTGTCCGGCGCAAGATAATCCACGGACGCGACTGTGGGAGTTACCGGTGGCGAGACCGACGACTGAGCAGAGAGTTTGCTACGTTTGCTTCGGCATGTCGAAAGAAAGTCTCGCAGATGCGTCTTGTATCGTCTGTTCCCTCTCTGTGGTGCCGGCTGCGCCGGTAGCGTCGGCGTCATGACTGATCCTGTCAAACTGTCACTATCCGAGAAATAGCTATTGGTCAATCCGGCATCCAGATAGCTCACTTTGAAGTCCATCGTACGTTTGCCGAGCAAGTCTCGACCTTCTTCTTCCCTGAAATATAAAAAAATGTTAATTGCATAAATGCCTTTTATAGCTCCTTCGTCAACGCTAACGCTGAAACTTACATGAGAGGTCGATGAGTACTGAGTACAAAATCTGGTTTCGAGTTTTTGTAGACCAATCTAGAGCTAGTCTGTAGCCATTGCCATCCGCCATCCTTCGTTTGAAATCTGTAGGCTATCATACCCGATGCACCAGTTTTTAATACTGAAAAAACAAACATTAGATTAAAATCCTCTCAATATTCATTAATTATTTATTCCGTAAGATAATACAATAATGTGCTTTAGCCAAATCAAGCCAATCTTTGCAGGAGTAAAAATGAAGTATTAATACTATCAAGTTTATATAAAATAATTAGCAAGCTTGTATAATACTAACTTGCTTTCACATATTTTAATCGACAATAACAATGTCTTTAAAAAACTAATCTCTACTTTGTATTATGGAAAATATCATTTTTGCTGTGCACACAGACAGTTCCTATGATGTTTTAAAAACATAACTTACATTCCTGATGCGCACTAGCGACGTAGGCCAAGTCGTCGTAATGGACTAGATCGTAGCCACCGAGATTCGTTAGTTCCGCATCAGAATAACCTAACAGCATCTTTCCTCTCTGATCCATCGTCACGAGTGCGAGATCCAATTTGTGCTTGCTTTTGAACATCACTTCCTTCTGCGGCACTTCTAAGAGCGAAGGAGGCCCGAACGGTGTGCACAGGGCGAACAGGGCCAACGGCGGCTCTTCCGTCTTCCGGTTCTGGCCATGAAGTACTTTAACTCGGCCCCTGATGTCGAGACGCTGCAATAAACGATTCAGAAATTAAAATAGAAGTTATTTAAATAAAAAATAAATAATTTAGAGAATTAATAATCAAACATCATACAAGTTAATAAATATCGCACGTAAAATTGTGATTGATACAAAATGCAGCAAATATTAATCGGTTTATATTATAAATTTATTAATAATTATAGTTAATATTATAAATATGAATTTTAATTCTTTGATTTATATAACAATATTTCTCGCGCGTGATTCTTTTTAGAAATATATAAAATATTACACACTTCGCATATTACATCGAGTAATTCAAATTTGGTAACTCATTTAACTGAATAATATCTGTTACACTACACATTATAAACAAATATATGAATAAGACTCTTTATTTTTAAATAATTAATTAATATATACTTGATGATATATAAATTTATTAAATTAAATATTTAATTAACGTGAAGTTTATTAATGTTATTATAAACAATTTCTCATTATATTATTATAAATATTTATTGTGTAAATTATTTCGCGCTACATTAATAGATATATTATGAGTATTATTGTACATTACATGTTCTCTTTGAAATGTTCCTTTCATAAGACACGTTTATCGAAAAATCTCCCTCACAATATCCGTTGATGGATGCGAGTGATAGATCTTGCCCGTGGCGTTGGAAACAGAATGTAGATCTGTCCGGCGAGGAGGAAAAAAAAACTAAAAAAAAAAGCACACGGTAGCTAGGATCCACGCGGTATATCCCGTCGCGAAGGATGCCGCCAAGGTTCCGGAGGCAAATCCTGAAGGAGGTGGCGGCGGATGAATCTCTTGCGCCGTAAACCCTCTTTTACGATTACAGTTTCATTTTCATAAACGTCAAAGCGGCGCCGTTTTTGCCAAACTCCCGAGCTTGGGTGCGGTGTTCGGAACCCTGACTCTCCTCTTTCTCTCTCTTTCTCGCTCTCGTCCTTGTCCTCTTTGCCAAGATAATACCGTCGTACTTTCTCTCTCTCTCTCTCTCTCTCTCTCTCTCTCTCT